TGTGGGGGTGCACACACGCTGTGTGTCTTGCTTACAAAGTCCCATGACCCATCAGCACCCGCCATCTGCTCTGGACACGCGTCCCTTGCTGGACGTGTCCCGCGCCTGCCCTTCCACGCTCCCCCAGATGCCACCGCAGTCCAGTTCATCGGTCCTCTCCTCGTGGGCAGGGCTTCTGTCCTGTTGGAGAATCTCTCCTCGTGGGCCTCCTAGCTCTGCCCTCTCACCTCTGGAGACTTCCGCTGCCCTGATGTTCGCTCTGTGCCTGGGGTGCAGCGGGAGGAGACCCACTTTCTTCCCAGACGGACTCAGTTCACACAGCACTGTTTACCGGAAAGCCCATGCTCCCTTCCCCAGTGCCCGGCACACACGTCTGCATCTGAACCCCACGCTGTGTTACGGGGCTACCTGTCTACCCTTGCCTGGACCCCACGCTGTCTTGTGACTAGGTTTTACCGGAAGTCTTGCTGCCGGAACCACGAGTCTCCTGGTAACTAGGAGGCGTCTTGCTCCCTCTTCTTTTCCCGATGGTCTCGGATATTCATAGTGCTCTGCCTTCCCGTGAAAATTTCAGAATCGGCTGCTCAACGTCCACCAAACAGTTGTTGAGTTTTTGTTGTCATTTCATCAACGCTATGACTTGATTTGAATAAAACTAACATCTTTATAATGCTGAGTCCCTCAATCCATGAATATGGTATATCCCTCAGTTGATTTGGGCTGTCTTTTGTTTCCTTAAACACGTTTTACATTTCCTGTGTGGAGGCGCCGTACACCACATGGCGGATTCATTCCCCACATTTGATGTTTCCAATCCTGCTGTAGACAGCATTTTCCCTCTACGGTTCTGAGTAAAGGAGAAGACTGTGCGACCTCCTAGCGCCGGGAAGTTCATAATTCGTAATAAACAGGCGCTGTGACTCACACTGTTCTCTCGTGCGTTTTTCGGGTGACCCTGAGCTCTGTGGACCCCCGAAGGTGGTGACGCCTGCAGGGCCCTCTCTGCAGCCCACGGTCTCCCCAGACGCCTTGCTCAGCGTCCCCAACAACCCCCGCCAGTCAACTGAGGGGATTAACGTGCAGGGGACGGGTCTGTGGTTGAAGCCAGATGGGAGATGGATTAACATGGAGGAAGGCATAAAAAACTGGACAAGATATTTCTGACTGGGACAAATTTGAGGACAGGATGAAATGTAAATATTTTTAGGTTGAGAAAGAAAAGTTCTGTATTTAATAATTAGTGCGGCCCCTCTGACCTCCCCGAGTCGTTCTTAGTCTTTTAGGGTCTGATTCCTACACAGTAAAGTCAGGAGAAATCGTGGTGGGGGCAATGGGGACAGAGGGAGAGAAACAGTCAGTGTGAACAAACCCTGCTTTATCAGGTAAGGGCAGGCTTTACGCCACCATTCGTGGAGTCCAGAACAGAAGCATTTCCAATTTTAATGAACTGCTCATTCCAGCAGCTGCCATTTTCACCTTTCTGTGCACAAGTGTGTGTATGTGTGTGTACGTGTGCCAGGCACGCCTGCGGGCTTCCGGCTGCCCCGGCGACAAGCTGGGACAGCCCACTCTGGCCCACACGGAGCAGCTCCCCCCGTCTGGGGGCCTTTGAGGGAATGGACAACTTCTTGAATGAATAAATGTCAATGTCGACAAAAATACACACCTAACACCCATTTGTCCATCACAAAGCATGATACTGAAATGATTACTCAGACTGTGAGAGGAAATAGCTGGTTCCTGACTTTCTGTAAAGCGTTTTGCACAAGAAGCTTGCAAGAGCACAAAGCCATTCTAATATTTAATGGTTATTTTGCATAAATTGGGGGCAATGCCTGATTTAATGGCATTTGGAAACAATTTCCTTATTACAAAGGAAACATTTCTTTACTTCTAATGCGTGGGGGAAAATAAAAGATCCAATCAGCAAATTTGGACCTGGAACCACAGCTGCTCTGCACGGTACCTGCCACTGTCCCCACAGCCCGGCCCTGTGCAGGACCATCAGGTCACGGGGAAGGAGTCGGCTCTGGGGCGGCTGCAGAGTTTACAGGTAACTCGGGACACAGCCCGGATGGGACTCAGGTTCCCTCCGATGGAACCAAAAGTAACTCTGAGCGTGCGGAAGGCAGACCGGGCAACTTTTTCTGGAATCAGACCCCACACTCGCAACCTCAGGAGGCTGAGTTCAAGGCTGCGCCACTGCGGGTGCCAGACTAAGCCACCGTGCCACATGCTCTGTCCGTCCACATCCTGCAAGCTCTGCCCTGTTTGGGGACACCAGCACCCCCAGCGAGGGAGGCACCAAGCCCTGGCAGATGCCCACCCATCTGCTCTTCACGACTCTCCACTGTGCAAAGGAGGTATCCTGAGGGCGGTGTCAATGGGACTCGTGTGCTGGGGATGGGGGCGGCCGCCCCAGCTGCATGGGTCATCCCGGGAACAAGGGAATTGTCACCGATCACTTCAGATCTTCTGGAGACAGAGCCCATCATCCATAGACAGCAGGGACCCCACCCAGGACACAGGGGCGCACGCTCAGCAGAGCCCCTGGCCACCAACCCGAGCAAAGCCTGGGCACCTGCCCTCGTGGTGGGGGTGCCTCTCCCGGGGAGCCCAGGGCTCTGCACGCTCAGCGACCCCCGCAGCCCAGAGGCAGCCCGGCGGGCAGACACGACAGCTGCCCGATGTGCGGATGGCCCGGGGCTGCCACAGCCGCTGGGCTGGCAGGGCCGTCTCCACCCTGTGCCACGTCCCCGACAGGGCAGCCCCGAAGCCGCTTGGGGGGCCTGTCCCCGGACGTGTTCACTCTCCCAGCACGTGGCCACGTCCCCCTCCACGGCCCTCCAGCGTGTGCACGGCAGCCACCCCCGGCTCCCAGGGCAGAGGGGCCTCAGGACGGCCCGGCGGTCATTCCGTCCTCGGAGTTCGCAGGCCTGGGGCTCAGGGGCAGGAAGTTAAACCAAGGGGAGAGGAACTGCCTCCCAGAATCACCAGGAAGGCAGCAGCTACTTCGGTTTGGGGAAACTATTCAGAATCAAGGTTTTCATGGAAATTAAATAAAACACAAGGCGGCCTCAGGGCCTTGGGCGGAGGGGGATTCAGGTCTTGGTTTCCGCTGCCTTTGCTCCACGCCCCCCGGCTTTCTGTGCTGTTAGTTTTACTGCTCCAGGCGTCGCCACTGGGTTCCAAACACCCCTTCCTCGCTGGGGGCTGAGCCTGGCTCAGGACACCTCCCCTCTGCCCGCGGAGGTGCTGGGCTCCTCCTCGAGGGCTCCTGCAGCCCTCGGGGCCTGTGTCCCCCAGTGTCGGCCATGCCCAGCGGGTAGCGCCAGGCATTCTCCCCTGAGCCCTCCAAGGGCCGCTTCCCTACGGTCTCGCCAGCGTCCCAGAGGCGGCTTCCTCTGGCCAGCCCGGCGGGGCCACCTGGTGGATTTCTCTGCCCAGGGGCCTCACCTCCACCCGTGAGGCCCAGACACAGCGCCGTCTTGGGCCCTGTCCCCGCCCCGCCGGTGCCGCGGCTGCCCGACCTGGGCCGTGCCCCCTCATGGCTAATTCCATCTTACTAGTTGATACTTCTTTACGCTAAACTTAGTGAGGTCTTCATATTAAACTGTTCAAATTGCTGCGTGGTCTCTGCCTCCAGACTGGACCCTGATCAATATGCCATATTTTTAATTTTTCAAACTTCTATTTTACTGTTTGCTAAATATACCTGTTCTTTTTTTTTTTTTATCATATGCTGTGCTTTCTTTATCTTACTTTTTTAATCCTTTACTATTTTCAGTATATTCACTTTCTAGTTCCTTTTGTTCTCTGAAGCTCCCCCAGGGAAGAGCCGATTCTGTCTGTCCTGCTGGCGCGACTGGTTCCGTCTGTGGCCTCCTCGTGTGTTTGTAATTTCGTGTTGCGAGCTCCCCTTCAGAGGGGATGTTTTGTGGGAGGGGCTGCGGGAGCGTAGTTAAAGGGTCCCCTTTTGCTTCCTTGGGTGCCCCAGCGATTTTGTCAATGTACAATCGGTTTAATTTCCAGCCCGGGGAGCCCTCGCTATGCAGTGGCGTAGGTCTGGGCTCCGCAACTCGGCTCTGATTGCCCACGAGAGGCTCTTTTCCTTCCCGGAGCCCAGGCAGAAAGATTCTTCCCTGTTCCTTTCCTAGGCCTGGGTGGGATTTTCACTGTGCCTTTCGTTGGCTGGGCCTGGTGTCTGATGAGGTCTCAATCCCCCTCTGGAACCATCCAACCCGGGCTGGCCTGGGGCAGCGTCCCAAACGAACTCACATCGAGAAGGGCCTTCCAGAACAAACCGTGCCCTGACCGTGCCAAGGATCTGACGTTTAAGACGCTGACCAGGGAGCCACCAACGGGGATGGTGCCAGGGAGGAGCGGTCAGGGTCAGGGTGCCGACCGGCTTCTTGCGGAGCGTGGGAGGCCGAGCAGGAAGCCGGCGCAGTCCGCACTCGCACGGTTGGGTCAGACACGGGCACCTCAGCACCACCAGCGTCTCGCGGAGACCTGAACCGAGCCCGGAAGAAACGCCGCCCTCCAAAGGCCGAGCGTGGAGATCTCCATCTGATAAAAGCTCAGGGATACGAAAAGCTTGATCGCAGCTGTTTTGTAAACCCCGAAGACAACAAGCATTTACAAAGGTAACAGAGCCTAACATGTAACAGACTGGAAAGCTGTTTTTGCTTCATTTACCTGATGGAAGCCCAGATAGTCCACGATCGTTGCTGACGCATAAAATATCATCCCTTCTGCACTCACGACCAGGGCGAAGCCGTTCAGAGACTGGAAAAGACAAAAACATCGTGTTGGCTCACCCAGAACCAAAAGCCCAAGCATCACTTTTGCTTGACCTTCCAACCATTCCGCCCGTTCCGTCGTCTGCGTTCATAAGCGCCAGAAATGCGCACTTTTATTTATCTACCATTATTCGATGACAGATTCCAAGTTGACAGGTGACGTGGGGAGTTGGTCGTGGCTTATGACGCTAAAGACTTGGGTTCTCCTTTTTTTAATAAACATAGAATTATGTTTTACAAAATATAAGCTTCAGCTTGACAGGACAGCGAGACACCATCAGTACGTGGACAGGAGCCGTTTATTTTCCTCTGTGAAGAAGTCTGAGCTCACGCACCTTCTTCTATACACTATTTTGGAATGTTTTTTGGCTTTTCTAAAAGTTTTTAGAAGTGAAACATATTGAATTCCATCAAGTGCTTTTTCCGTATCTACAGAAATAATCACATAATTTTTTTAGTCTTCTAATGGATAGATTTTCTGGTGATGACTTGTTCTTGCATTTATGGGGTAAACCCTACGTGATTGCAGTTTTTATACGTCCTTGGAACTGACCGGCTTCACTCAGGAGTGGATCAGCATGTTTGGGGTGAAGCTGCCTCTGTTTTCTCTATTTGGGTGCTCAGCACATGTAGCCTTCAAAGAACGGGGGGCCCTGCCCCTCTTTCGTGTCTGCATCTGCTCATTTTGGACAAAGATGACAAGCTCTGGAAGTTTGGTTCGCCTCACTTTAAGGCCATATAGTTTGGGCACGTTTTGGGGAGATGGTGGGTGAAAATGGGGTACATTTTAATGCCCTGTCGATTTTTTAAATTGTTGTTGGTGTATTCAAGTTTTTAATTTTTTTCTTATATCAACTATGGCATCCTAAAATATTTTCTAGAAATGTATCCATTTCATCTTGATTTTAAATTTACTAGTGTATGTTATTCATAATATTTTTATGATTATTAAATCTTAGTTATATCCCTAGTTATTGTGGGATTGGGGGGTGTGCAAAGTAAGGCGTGCGCTTGTGGTCTTGACGCAAAGTCTTCCTCTAATTGAGAAGCGAACTCTACAGCCCCATCCCACGGTGACGCCCAGACATCCCAGTGAAGATGCCCAGGGCCACCCGGTCACACGGGCAGCGAGTGTCCTACCCACCACCACCACCACGAGGAGGACAGTGGCAGCTGACGCTGAGCAGACCCTCGAGCACCCAGACCCTCGTGGCACCCAGATGGGACATCTCACTCACCCTCACGTCACCCTGAGAGGGGGGAACGGTGATGACTCCGCCAGCCGGTGCAGGAGCCAGAGGGGAGGGGCCGAGTCACCCGGACAGTGGCGTTCACAGACGCATCAGCGCGTGTCTTTGAAACATGGACATTCAGGCTTTCAACTAACTTCCACGACGTCTGTGGCAATCGGCAATGGGCCGCGATACTCACCTCCCTGAAATCTCAGTTATGCAGGGTACCTTTATTTTCCCTTATTTTTTTAAATCTTGGCCAGTTTGAAAAGAGATAAATTATGTTACCGTTGTAGCTTTCATTTCTTTGATTACTCACTGTAACTTGTATTTCTTCTTCTGTAAAATGCCCATGCATGTTACGCACTGACTTTTTTACTAGGGTTTGTAAATATCGGTTTCTAAGAACTTCTAAAATACTGGAATTGAAGACGTCTAGGCAGCTGAGAGTAATGGCAGTCACCTCAGCTCGAATCCCCTACACGGTCCAAACCATGACGGAAAACAGTAAGAACAGGAGAAACTGCACAACCCAAGCCTCCCTCACCATGAGAAAACAGAAAGTATGACCAGCTTCAAACTACGTATAAGCAGAAAAGTCAACGTCAAATCCCGATGAGTTTAACAGGATTGTTACTAAAGAAACAAAGGGTAGGATCCCTCCTCAAGAAACTAGAGAAAGAAGAGCCAATTAATTTAATTTAAATTAAATCTAACGTAAGAAGAAAAATTAAAAATGAGGGAAAAATCAATGAAAATGGTTTAGAAAAAATAAAAGATCAACAAAGGCAAAATTTGATTCTTAGAAAAGATGAATAAAATTGATAATCTGCTAGCAAGATTCATCAAGAAAAAAACACATTATTGACACCAGGAGTTTAAAAGGATACATCATTACAGATCCCACGGATATTAAAAGGATGATAAGGAAATATTAAGAATGATATTTAATAAATTAAACAATTTAAATAAAATGGGCAATTCCTTAAAATACACAAATTAACAAAAGTGATATAAGAACTAGAAGATCTAAGTAGCCTAATATCTATTAAACAAATTGAATTTCTTTTTTTCTTTCTTTTTTTTTTTTTTTTTAAGGAACAGAGTCTCGCGCTGTCCCCCAGGCTGGAGTGCAGTGGAGTGATCACAGCTCACTGTAGCCTCCAACTCCTGGGCTCAAGGGATCCTCCTGCCTCAGCCTCCCGAGTAGCTGAGACTACAGGTGTGAGCCCCATACCCAGCCAATTTTTGTATTTTTTGTAGAGGCGGGTCTCACTGTGTTGTTCAGTCTGGTCTCAAAGTCCTCCTGCCTTGGCCTCCCAGAGAGCTGAGATTACAGGCGTGAGCCACCATACGGGGCCCAAAGAGCTACAAGTAGAACTACCATTCAATCCAGCAATCCCATTACTGGGCATCTACAAAGGAAAAAAAGACATTCTATAATAAAGACATCTGCACTCAAATGTTCATAGCAGCACAATTCACAATTGCAAAGATGTAGAAACAACCCAAGTTCCCATCAATACATGAGTGGATTAATAAAATGTGGTATATGTATACCATGGAGTTCTACTCAGCCACAAAAAATGTGATCTAGCACCTTTTGTATTATCCTGGATAGAGCTGGAGCCCATTGTACTAAGTGAAGCATCACAAGAATGGAAAAACAAGCACCACATG